GACAATCGCTGTACGATCTCTTTTATGAGTGTTTGCATTCCGGTGATGAACACTGTAAGTTTTAATTCATACCAACCAACATACAGGCGTATGTGGTCTCGGAATAGAACCCATTTGTTAAACTTTCTTCAAGCTTCGTGATAGGTGCATACATATGGACTGCTAGGGTTATGTCCTCTCCAGTTAATTTGTCATTGTCAAACCATGCTTCATTATATACATCAGAAGTATCTCAGCATCATTGGCTTTCTGAAGCTTTGAAGGGATACTGCTTTGATCTGAAGATGAAAATGAAGGCACTGAAATGAAACATGGTAATTGTATATTCCTAAACTAACTGAATGAAAATAACTATGAGCAACACTCAATCTAAACATTTTCCGAGTGTAATCTCTATCCTTGTGATACGATAGCTTAGTTGAAAGTTCTCGAATAATAAATAAAAGTTTCCTCTTTACTTCAAAGTTTTGCTTTAAATTCTATGAAAATCAAGGCTTTGTATGTATCTATTCAAAATTATACGTACGGTAAGATAACAACATAGACGTCTATTTTTACTGTAGGTTCTACAGTTGGAAGACTAGTGTACAGCGCTTGAACGATATGATATGTAAGTTAAAATTTAGGCTTTTATCAAACATTCCATAATTACAATCTACACGTTTAAAAAAACACTTCATATTGACATCTGCATAAATGTAACAAAGAAACCAACTTGGTTGTACGAACAACGGAATTCAAAGATTACTAGATAAGTGTATTTGTCCTAATTTTAAGATTTCCACACACGTTGTAACCTTGATTATAATATTTTGCAACATTTTTTAATAGATCCATTTATGTCTGCACTTTGGTTCTCACTAGTTGGGGCTTTCAATTTCCCAATGATTGAGACATTCAAAAAAGGTTGTGCCTTTTTCCTAACGTCTAACTATTTAGAGCTGATAAGTTAGTCGAAGTAATTTTAAACCAAAACTTACAATACTGAACAGTTTTAAACTATAACTCAAGGAAACGTTTTTTTGAATGAATGAATAGTGGAATGTGAAGGAAAGCAGTAACTGAATTTTATCGACTTATTTTTGGGATGTGGTTAAGACGGTACAGTAGAGAGGAGTACTCACCAGAAAACTGGATAGATAAAGCCCTGACTCTTGTTGACTCCAACTGTATTTATCAATTCACATTTACATGTGGTAGCAAGGATGTAGGAAGAACAGAGAGGCAGTCGTCTACCAGGATTGCCGAAAATGTCTCAGAAATTCACCCACTGTCAACAGTGCAATATTTGGTTACGTGTGATACAGAACACAAAGTAGATGAGATGTGGCCCTTCATAACAGTTAACAAACAAAAGACCTCACCTACTTCAAACTGAAGAACGCATCACTATCTGACGAGTTCAGCCTGAACTCTGTGTATAAAAGGAGATAGTCATTAATTTATTATTGTCGTAGTAATTAGTAACTTTTCACCTTCTCATCTTTCCCAAAAATGCTTCTAACAGATTTATCTTGTGTTTATTCATACCCGGATTTACACTGATTAGCCTCCCATTATTCCCGTATTTGTTATTATTGCGATCATTTTATCTCACCCAAATATCATTTCGCTAACATGACTTTTCACACGATTACTCAAACCTTTCTACTTACGTCTAATCTTATCTCACTCATTGGTTAATATTCCTTACCTTCCCTTATGTAGTTTGACTGGTTTTATTACCTGAACTTCCTTTACCATCTGAATTATTATGTTTTCCAGATCTTTAAACATTAACCGATATCCTAAAAAAAGTTCCATATAAAGTGTGATAATATTTGTTATAGCGATTATTTACTAATTTATCCAGGTTGTATGCGGCTGAAGAAATGGCGTAATCTCATACTACAAACAGTGTTCTCATTGCTTTATTCAAGTTCATAAAGGTAATTAAATGTATGATACTATCTTGTTGCGTGGTTGAAGAACTTTGATCCACTTATCATATATGAACTTTGGTTACAATCAACTGGTATATACATACAGACTCGATTGATTAACCAACGAGCAAAATGATAAATCAAGAAACAATCAACAGGATAATGTATGAAATCAACGATACAACAGTTTTAGGCAAAAACCAATCAAATGTCACTTCAGTAGGACAAGTTACTAAACCACTGACGGTGAAATTTGGTTAACTTACTTCAAATTGAAACTAATACCGACAGCCTTATCCAGAAAGAAAATGAAAGCTTTGTGAATAAACGATCTAATCCAGGGAGTGGAACAACGACAAGACAATTGCTAAGTAATCTTTAGAATTTGACAACTTCATTTCTTTGCAAAATAGAAACCGTAACATTTAAATCCTACAGTATGTTCATTGTCATGAAACAAAAGTTAGTGATAACTGATGTTCTAGTTCTGAAAAATCGTATCACTATCTAATAACATGGGCTGGAACTATCCGTAACTCCTTCTCTGAATAGTCCGAATCCCTCTGGGGCAAAATATGGCTAAACAAAAACGATTCCCTCTAGCTAAAACTAGGTACACTGGCCCAATTTTATTCTTATCAGCATAATTTTCCTGATGTATTCATCTTATGCTAGACCACAATAAAACATGACTGTCAAAATTCACAGTTTCAGTAATAAGCAGATATTACTTCAGTATTTCTTGTGTTTTCCTGCCAGACTGAATCGTAGATTATGACTAAATTCAGTCTCAAACTGTGTGACTTGTGTCACATTTGAAGATTTAACGAAAATATAACATTTCCAAGAGATTCCATTGAGAACCGTCTTTTGAAAGCAAGAGAAATTCACAACGCCTTAACTGCACACAGTAAAAATCAGATCGACTTCATCTCAGTCTGAAGAAAGTGGAGATGCAGCCTACTGGACACAAGATCCTGCAATCTGCAGGATCTAGTTGTAAGACACCTAAATAAGCTTCAGTAGCTGCCCAAATAACTCAGCTGTAACCTCTGGCTGTAGAGCTAGGTGACGTTGGTTGGAATCTCCGAAGAAAAATGGCTTGAACTGAGGTGGCAGATACCTCTGGCTAAGGAGTTCCAGCAAGCACGAAATCAAGGTCCCGAACTTCCTACGAATTGCTTCCAACCATCTAACATGAAACGTTTTTTCGTCACATATTTAGAAAGCTAAGGAAAAGTGTGTTCATATCCTTTGATGTAATCTTTACACATACGCATACCACTCACTATCTAGTGCCAGGAACCTACCTTCAAAATCAAATTGAAAGTCAAAATTAAAGAAGTTGTTGATAGACGACTACAGTTCAAGTTCAACACCCAGAAAAGAACCTTAGCTGAAGGATGAAACCATGAAGGACATCTTCACTTCAGCCATCAGGATAAAATGGGAGAAATTGAGCAACGTCCCTGAAGAAACCTGCATGGAAGAACACTGGAACTCTCGAAATAGATGTAGAAGGAAACCTGTACAACCGTATTTGGAGATCTCGACGGACACATTGAAGCTGATAGAGCAGGGAGAAGAATATAGTGAAGCAGAAGATGAACCAGTGCAGTGCAGGGATGAACAACGAGAAGAGGAACTAAACACAACCTATAAAATACTGGGCAAAAAAGTGAAGAAGAGTACGCGGAAAGACAAGAGAAGCTTTTACGACACACTTGCAAGTGAAGCAGAATAGGCTGCTGGTAGGAGAGACAGAGACCGGGAAAGATAGCGAATGAAACCTAGTTACCAAAGAGGAGAAACAAAGGAAACGATGGGCTGACCACTTCAGTAACCACTTGGATCAACCACCACCAGTTGCAACTCGTCCAGAAATCCCCTAGCAACGGCAGAACTATCAGTGAACACAAGCCCTCCGACAAAAGCAGAATTCCTGAACACCATAAAGTCGCTGAAATCCGGGAAAGCAGCAAGACCAGATGGAAGTCCTCCAAAAGCACTGAAAATAGACACACAGACGACAGCGGACATTCTCACATCACTATTGTATAAGGTTTGGAAGGAAGGCAGGAAAGGTACCTGCGAATTGATTGGAAGAATGGCTACCTTGTCAAACTCCCAAAGAAGGGAGACCTCAGTCTTTGCAATAACTGGCGACGAACTACCCTCTATCCCTGTCCACCCAAGAGAAATATTAAGCCACGTCATTCTGGAGAAACTAAAAGGAAAATGCTCTGGATTCAAAATTACAACTGGAGCAGGATAGCTGGCTGAATTCAGGAAGAACAAATCATGTGCGATTAAGTTGCAACTGTACGCTAGGCATCATTATAGAACAGAGCATAGAAAGGCAGTCAACTCTCTACCTCAACTTCATTGACTTTGAAAAAGCCTTCGACAGGGTCAACCGAGAATTAATTTGGAAACTGCTTCAACACTACGGTTTTGGTGCAACAAACATTTATCAATCTTATTCAACAGCTATATGACGACGCCACGTGCCAAAGGATCCACAATGTAAAGCTCAGTGACGCCTTTGAAGTGAAGACAGGAGTAAGACGAGGCCTGC